ACAGGAAATAATCTCTTTCTGGGAGTGTTGCTTCTCTGTGCTCTGTTGCACATTTTTTCCTAACAAAGCACTCAAACAAATAATAAGAGAAGCATTAATGAGAGAAGCATTTCTATCTTTCCTTCTGCAGAAAGACAGCCTGAGGAGGTAACCGCACTAGTTTATGTGACTGCATGCTGAATGCCCTAAATTCTCCTTCATGAATACTTCAAGAATAAGATTCAGTTATTCAATTTTTTCTGCAACAGATCCCTGAGAAATAGAATACATAAAAGAGAAATTAGAAAAGATCACTCATAATACGTGTATAAGATGTAGCCCTAGGTGACGATTTCTTTGTCTTTGAGCATCTTAACTACTTTAATTTTGGAATTCCAGTGGGCACAAGGGTTAGGCCTGGTATAAATCCCGGCAATGGAGCTTCGGGACCCTCCATCTTCAGATTGCTAAGTAATATGTTTTGACAATGCATGAACACCAGAGGGCACCCAAAACTGTAAAACATAGTAAAAGGCTACTTCCCTTTCTGTATAGGCAAAGAATGTAGGAAATGGTCAATTATAGGAATTATAAAAATCAACCAGGCATGGTGGTGGGCGCCTGTAGTCCCAGCTACTCAGAAGGCTGAGGCGGGAGAATCGCTTGAACCCAGAGGTTGCAGTGAGCCAAGGTTGTGCCACCGCAGTCCAGCCTGGACAATAGAGCTAGACTGAAATACTAATAATAAAAAATCTACTCGAGCATTTCCCACTTCTGATATCCTGTAAGATACTCCTTATGCAGGATTTGGTGGTCGAAATGTTTGTGAAAACCATAGACTTCATCTGCCCTAGGAGATTTCCAATGCACACACATAAACATGTTTTTTAGAAGTTCTTCAGTGAAGAAGAAGTACAAAGGAACCTGCTATAGTAGCAATCTACTACAATCCTGCTGTTCAGTGTTCTGTAAAACACACTTTGGGAAATGCTGATCTAGTCCAGTCCCTCTCCCAAAGAAGGAACAGCTCAAACTATCCAACAGAGGCCTTCCTTTTACATGGGTATCCAAACGTTTTTAAAAAATTCAGATACATTCTTAAAGCAGAGTTAATAGGAACAGCCCCATTTATTGAATATTTATACTATGACAGGCTGTATTTTAAGTGTTACTGTCTCTTCTCTTTCTTCTGTGTGTGTATATGTGTATGTGTTCATACACATACACATACGATACCCAGCACATAGTAAATCATGAATAACTAAATTACCTAGGAAGATTCTATAGTCCATGTGAGAGAATAGAAATGAACATTCTGCCCCTGATTAGAAAGTCTCTTATCTATGAAGAACACTTGAGAACAAAGACATATCTCCCAGATCCCTTCCCTGGGGATTCTACTTCATTTCTCTGAAATTACCATATTATTGTTAATATGACTTATTCGCAAATAAATCTTACATGACCTAGTAATATGTATTAAGTTTTATTTAGCTCTTTTTTTTTTGAGACAGAGTTTTGCTTTGTCACCCAGGCTGGAGTGCCCTGGTGTGATCTTGGCTCCCTGCAGCCTCTGCCTCCCGGGGCTCAACCGATTCTCCTGCCTCAGCCTCCCGAGTAGCTGGGATTACAGGTGTGCCCCACCGCACATGGCTAATTTTTGTATTTTTAGTAAAGACAGGGTTTCACCACGTTGGCAAGGCTGGTCTCGAAATCCTGACCTCAAGTGATCCACCGGTCTCAGCCTCTCAAAGTGCTAGGATTATAGGCATTAGGCACCAGGTCCAGAAAGCTCTTGTTATTTAGAGTTTTTGCTTTGTACTTTTCAGGAAGGTGGCTTGCCCCTATAGGTCCAGTGCAAGTTATAGATGAAAATGTTTTATCTTCCATATTCCATTGTTAGTAATTCTTTTGTGCCATTTTGCTTTCCACGTTGTAATGTTTGCACTTCTCAAGCTTGTTTATTCTTTTCTCTCAATGTTAAGCAATGAAATTCCAACAGTGAACCTTGAAACTAGCCACTTTCTAGCTAGCTACAGGCGAAATACATTTTGACATACCAAGTAGAAATGTTCCCTCTTCTCTCTCAACTGAAAAAAGCAGATAATATTTTCCTCATCAAATGTATTCGCAAATGTTATACATAAAAAGGATATGCTGTGTGAACTTCAAAGGTTGTTATGTCCTGTGAATTACAATATCTAAGAGGACTATAACTCTGATTGGTTGCCTTATTTATTACGTGGCCCTGGTAATAATATTTAAATGGATAAATTGATTTTTGAAGCAGAAATACTTCAGAGTTTTCTTTGTCAAGCCATACCAGCTCATTCCTTCTCTCTCACATGTGTGGAGGTTAAAACAAATCAAGCCTATGGCTTGGTGGATTTTTTATTTAAACAGCATTAGAGAATCTAATATCATCCTTGTGCCTCAATTTCTCTATGCTTAAAATGAGCATAATAAGGCACAGTGTTGTTAGAAGACTGAATTAGTAACAACAGTGACTGACTCAAAAGTAGCACGTTAAGTATGAGTTCTTTATTGTTGGATGCGTTCCCCAATGTGATGTACACAGTGTGGTGTGCACCATGTAGATGTGCCATAGAGACTGTTGACAAGATTTTGAAAAGAGACTGTGCCGTGAGGAGGAAGAACGCTGACTTTGTGTGCAGCTTCACAGTCAGTAGCTGTGGAGACGCAGACAGATCATTTAGCCTCTCTGAATCCCTTTTTTCCTGATCTGCAAAATGAGAGTAATAAGAATAACCTATCCTGCCACTTAGAATGCCTTAGAGGATCTCTAGAATTAATGGATGTGACAGTGCTTTGAGTCTGGGAACATTTAATGACAATATGAATGCTGATTGTAATGAAATGACAAAGTGGTCCTCCAGAATAGAGATGTTAAGCCAGGATGATGAAGGTATGTTAGCATGCTCTAGGTAGAATCAGAGTCAATCTCTCAGGTTATAGTGATTTCTTAATGTGCCACCATATTTATTCAACACTTTTTCATTTAATAAACACTTTTTTTAAGAGACTGCTATGTGCCAGGCATTGTGCTAAATACTGAGGATAGAACATCATGTAAGATAGAGAATTTGCTTTAAGATACCTTACCACCTAGTACAGGAAGACAGACATGTAAATGTATATGGGCAATATGGTTTGATAGCTGCCAGTCATCTCTTATATCTCACGTAAGTGCTGACGAAGTAGGTCAGGGAAGGAGCTTAAGGGATGATGCTCAGCTCTTGGATGGCAGAACAAGGTCCTAATGTAGTACCTTACACTGTCTCTCCCATTCTCAACATCCTTCCAGAGAGCTGCAAGCTGATGAGTGGGCAGAGCCTTTCAAATGTGAGAGGACCACAGTGACACGTATGGGACCAGAGTGACACGTATGGCAAGGCCATCCATGCAAACTGCTGGAGACCTTACTAAAGCCAACTTACTGCTGGAGACCTGACTAAAGTTCAAAGTTTATCTTCCTCTGAAATGGGGCAGTACCTTTCAGAGTGATTGTGAGAAGCATAAACTAATAGCTATGCAAGAAGTCAGAGGTCTATTGAGCAATGTAGTGCCTATAGCCACCAATACTGCTTGCTTAAGCATTTGCTAAGAGAGTAGATCTTACGTTAATTGTTCTTATCACAAAAGGAAAACATTAATAACAGAGAAGAGAATAGGAGGAAACTTTTGGAGTGATGGATGTGTTTATGGCATAGATTGTGGTGATGCTTTCACGCTTGCATTCATATCTCCAAATTCGACATTAAGTATCTACAACTTTTTCTGTCACGAATCTTATCTCAGTAAAGTAGCCTTGAAAATTACTTATGAAATAATATCCTTTGCACCAACGCGGATACCACAGGAGGCTATTATCTTAAGCAAATTAACACAGGAACAGAAAACCAAATACCACATGTTCTTACTTACAAGTGTGAGCTAAACACTGGATACTCATAGACATAAAGACACCAACAATAGAAACTGGGGACGCCTAGAGTGGGGAGAGAGGGAAAGGGGAAATGATTGAAAAACTAATTACTGGGTACACTAGGATCACTACCTGGGTAATGGGATCAACTATACTCTCGACCTCAGCATTACGTGATATACCCATATAAGAAACATCACGTGTACACCCGAATTTAAAAGTGGAAATTATTTTAAAAGTTAAAAAAAAAGGTGTTCAATACATTGTTGCTGATAATTCTTGAACTGAGTTGAATGGTGCCACTGCTACAACTTAGTACCATCAGCAAACTGTATATAGCACTATCTTATGCATTTTTTTTTACATCTGCACCAAACTATACACATTATAAAGGTGCAGTGTTTAGAGTATGGTCACGAGTTTTGGGAGAAAATCTGTTTTTTAAATAAAATAAGTAACATATCATTTTAAAAAGGCATGCTTCTCAACAGTCTGTTGGATGCAAATGCGTCTCAGAGCATCTAGAAGAAAACATTAGCAACTTCACCTTTATTTGATGGACGTAAGTGCAACAAGCCTCAAGCACCTGAACATCATTTAAACTGTGACATGTAGACCAGGTGCGGTGGCTCATGCCTGTAATCCCAGCACTTTGGGAGGCTGAGGTGGGAGAATCACCTGAGGTCAGGAGTTTGAGAGCAGCCTGGCCAACATGGCGAAACCCTGTCTCTACTTAAAATATAAAAACTAGTTGGGTGTGGTGGTGGCCACCTGTAATCTGAGCTACTTGGGAGGCTGAGACAGGAAAACTGCCTCAACCCGGGAGGTGGAGGTTGCAAGTGAGCTGAGGTTGTGCCACTGCACTCCAACCTGGGCAAGAGAAAGAATAAGACTCTGTCCCAAAAGAAACAAAACAAACACAAACAAACAAAAATGTGACATGTACCTGAAGCCATGATGCTCTCATCCATTTTCCTTTGTAATTAAGATTCTTCTGGTGTCATAATTGAACATTATGACTTTTCACTGATGGTGTCAAATACGGAGGGAATAAAGATTAAAGAAACATACTCACCGATAGGATCTGGTCTCCTCTCTGGAGCTCCCCACTTAGGTCTGCTGGTCCACCAGCCAGAATGAAGGATACAAAAATACCTTCTCCATCTTCCCCACCTACAATGTTGAAGCCCAGGCCAGTGGAGCCTTTGTGCAGGACCACCTTGCGGGGTTCTCTGCAGAAAGAAATAGAGAACACAGCTTAGAGGATGATCCATTTAAGATTTAGGTTGCTTTTACTTTCACTGGGACAAATGATATCAGCAATTTCCTACTTATAAGGTTGTTTCTCAAATTAACATTCACATATCAAGAAAGAGGCTAATATTAGGAATGTTTGAGTTCCTCACTGTAACAACAGCCAAAATATCATGTAAAATCATTCCTTCATTCTAAAAAGGTTTCTTAAACAATCTTTACTTCTATTTTTGTTTAAAACATCTGTTTTTGTATTGCGCACCACAGTAGTACTCAGTAGGACGGACATACACAAAAGGATAGAGGGATTTCTGGGGACAAGAGACTAGGTTGAATTCCCAGATCATGAAAGACCTTATATGCCAGGTTGTGGGTTTGCTGTTTGTTTGATTGTTAATTAAAATGTACTGTGTAAGCCATGGGGACTCATTGGAAGATTCTGAGACATTAAGAATATTTAAATTCATTTTAGAAAATTAACAGATGGTCCTATGGAGGGCTGATGGAAGGGAAAGTACAGATATGACGGGAGGTGGGAAAATCATTTGGGATACTGTCTAGTAATCCAGCTGTGAGGAAGTCACAGCCTGAACAAGGGTGACAGCAGGGAGAATTTTAAAAAGGGTAACATGAAAGGAAATTTGAAGGGAGAAGCAGTAGGTCCAGAGATGACTCAGACATTGGAAAAAGGAGAGAGAGCAACTAGCAAAAAGAGAGATGAGTGGAATCCAGGATCATGGGATGAGTATGATTTGGACATACTCAGTTACAGGAAATAGTGGTATATCCACGCGGCAACATTCTGAAGCAGCTGGAGATGAAGGACAGGAATTTGGGTCTTTGGAGAGAACTATAAATACATATTTAAGGGTCATCAATGAAAAGGTCAGAGATCAAATTTTGAGCCAATAGTTCACTGAGTTTGTGTAGAGGTCAGAATAACATGGAATTGTAGAGTGTAAAAATTCTTAAAAGGCAGTTACTTCAAATTCTGTATCAGTAGTTTTAAAAAGTGTTCTGCAAGTCTTAGGCTTGAGCAAGTTGTTATTTGTATCATGCACCCTCCTCTCCCAAACATCTCAGTCTATCTTCTATTTTCCAGCTCTTAATGATGAAAGAATAAGAGCCATCCAATATACTTTATACTAATGACTACAAAAAGAATTTGTTATTTGCTATCACATTTTCATGCATCAAGTGATGCATTATGTATACATGCCTTATTATGAGGAAGAGTGTAAAATGCACATCACAACTTGAACTGTAAATAATAAATTAGATAACAACGCATTAAGTCAGAGATGAAGTGTCAAAGAGTTAACTCATTTCATTCTACAGATACTTTGTAAACACCTACTCTGCCAGGAAGGTGTTTCAAGTGCTCAGAATGTTTGCAAACAAAACAAATATCCCCGCCCTTGTGGGCTTACATTCTAATGAAGGTAGATCACGAATAAACAATAGATGCAATAAATAAGTTGATTATATACCATATTAGAAGGCAGTAAGAACTCTGGGTAGAAAAAAAATTGCAGGACAGTGTAGGAGGGATAGCTTGTGGCGAAGAGGGCCTGGGTAGGATGCATTGAGAAGGTGACATTTGAGAAAAGATTGAAGAGGTGAGGAAACTAATCATGTTACTGTAAAAAGGAAGAATATTCTGGCCAGAGGAAAGGAACAGCTAAACAGATCCTAATACGGAAGGGTGCCTGGTGTTGCCAAAGAAGATCTAGGAGGCCAATGTGGCTGAACTGAGTGAATGAGGAAGGGAGAATGGTAAGCGATGAAGTCACCGTATTAGTTTTCTACTGCTGAGTAACAAGTTACCACAAATCTAGCAGGTTAAAACCACAGCCATTATTCTCTTTCAGTTCTGTAGGTCAGAAGTCTGGGTGGACTTGACCATGTTGTCTACCTATGCTGAAGTTAAGGTGCCAGCCAGGCTGAGCTTTATTGCAAGTTTCTGGGAAAAAATCTGTTTCAAAATATATTTAGGTTGTTGGCAGAATTCAATTTTTTGTGGTTGCAGGGTTGTATTAGTCAGGGTTCTTCAGGGAAATAAAACCAATAGGCACCCACACCCACACCCCTACACACATCTATATTATATACATATACACAATAAGGAATTGGTTTTTATAGCTGTGGAGGCTGATAAGGCCCAGGATCTGCAGCTGACAAATTGGAGACCCAGGAGAGCCAGTGATATATATTAAATAGTTGCAGGCGGAGACTACGTGTGAAGGCAGAAGAAGACTGATGTCCCAGCTTGAGGACAATCAGAAAGCAGCAGCAAATTCTCCCTCACGTTGCTTTTTTATTCTATTCAGGCCTTCAGTGGACTAGATGAGGATCACACACTTTGTGATAAACAATCTGCTTTATGCAGTCTATTGATTTGCAATTTTATACCATCCAGAAACACCCTCATAGACATACCGAGGACAGTGTTTAACCAAATAGCTGAACACTCAATGACTCCATCAAGCTGACACATGAAATGAACCATCACAAGGAATAAGGTATCCATTTCCTTGCTGGCCATCAACTGGGGCCTGTCTCAGCTGCTAGAGGCCACCCGCATTCCTCACCACTTGGCTCCCTCTGTCTTCAAGCCAGTAATGGCACAATGAATCCTCTTCACATCTGGAAACTCTCTCTTCCTCTTCTCCAACTAGCTGAATAACTCTCTGCTTTTCAGGGGTTTATGTGATTAGGCCAGGCCTACCCAGATACTTTTCCTGTCTTAAGATTAACCGATTAGTAACCTTAACTACACTTGCAAAATCCCTTTTCTTCCGTAAGAACTTAATTGTGGGAGTAACACCAGGAGGTAGCTATCATGGGTCCCTCTTAGAACTTTACCTACCACTATCAGAGAGACAATAGTGCATTAATTAATCCTGTAGGGCCTTGTAGGCCATTTTAATAGCTTTGATTTTACTCTGAAAGAAATGGGGAGCCTGCTGGAAAAATAACTTGACCTGACTTCCATTTGCAAAGGATTCTTTTGCTGTAAAATAGACTCCTCTTGCAGCTGGTTGGCATGCGAGTTCAGCTCCCCCTTGGTCACGGAAATACCAGCGAGGGAGAGGCAGAGCATTCCACTCATTCTACCTCATCGCCACTAGGTGGGAGTAGAAGTTCAGCTCCTCCCTCAGATCCATGCACACCAACGGGGGAGAGAATATCGGGTGCTGAGTAGTACTGCCTTGATCACCTTATTCTGTTTCCTTACCTCCACATGGGGGTAGCAGCCCAGCTCCCCACAAGGCCCTGCTGATACTGCCCTAGCAGGCAGAGTGGTTTGCCATCTAGCAGTTTTCCTCTTTCGCCTTCTACTTCATTGCCACTGAGCAGGGGTGGAAATTAAGCTTCTTGCTGGTCCCCATCAACATTAGGAGTAGGGGAATGGAATGCCAAGTAACGCCATCTCATGCCAGCTTGTTGCTGCTGGGTAAGAGTACAAGTTCAGCTCCCCACTGGAAAGCGGAGTATTGACGAGCACCACCTCATACCCCCTTGTTCTGCCTATTTGCTGCCAGATGGAGATGCTGCCAGTTCTTGTTCTGCCTGCTGACAACAGCCTGGCGGAGGAAGTGGAAGGCCATCTTAGAGCTGCCTCTCCTGGCTGCCCCTGGTAGAGCCAGAAATCCAGCCCTCTGCACAGCACCGCTGACACTGCAGGGTTGAGGGGACAGGTTTTTCTTTGGTGTTTGACTAGCGTAGGTCAGTATTATCAAAAAGTTTTCCTGTTTTATTTGGCTATCTGTATTTTCCAGTCATTTATCTCAAGGGAGCAGGTTTTACTCGGAGCTCTTTTTGTCCATACTTATTGGCAGTTCCAGGCTGCAGTTCCTCCGGTGTTCCATTAAAAATACATAACGAGCAGAAAACAAAAATAAAGCAGAATAAGTCCTGGAAACTCATTACAGTATCCTTACTTTCCTTACCAGTCTGTTGCCTCCTCTCCAACTCTAAAGTCTTCCTATATTTGTTTTATTATACTCAAGGTTTTTTTGTTTTGTTTTGCTTTTTAAATAAGAGGGTGGGTGAGAGGGAAATGACATTTTAAAGGTAGAAGCCAACAGAATTTTGATGAAAAGGTTGTTGCCAAAATCTCCCGCTTCCCCCAGAATGAACACATGTATAGACATTCTCAGTGGGTCCAACAACATTGATGCTCTATACAGTATATATAGATGGAGGGAAGGGAGTGAGGAGGACTCTGACATTTGTCCTTGTGCTATATTGGGCTTGCTGCTCTACCCAAATCATCTGATTTATTCCTCAAAAAAAAAAAAAAAAAAAAGGTGTACACTGATGTTTGCAACTACTTTGAAACAGATCAGAAAGCAAAATAGATTGATGATTGGATAGATGGGTAGGTGTATGATAGAGCAAGTACAGAACAATGTTAATAGTGGAATCTAGGTGGCAAGTACATGGATGTTCATCGTAAAATCTTAAAAATTTTCTTTGTTTGAAAAATTTTATAATGAAATTATGAGTAAAATAAATAACCTGATGAAGAAATCATTAGAACTTTTTAGATTAGTGAAGCGAGACTACTTGCCTAAGTTCTTAACTGAGTTTAGTAAGTAGCAAAGGCAGGATTAGGACAGATTTTTCTGTCTCACAGTCCCAAAGTCTAGAATATGGTATATGCCAGAGATTGCAAACCAGCAAGTCAAAGGCTGAATCTGACTCACAATATTTACAAATGTTTGAATTAGTTGCCCAAGTTTAAAATTAGGAAAATTTGCATAAAATATGGATTTGTGGCTTCACATGAAAAAAATCCAGCCAGGCGCAGTGGCTCACACCTGGTATCCCAGCACTTTGGGAGGCTAAGGTGGGCGGATCACGAAGTCAGGAGATCAAGACCATCCTGGCCAACATGGTGAAACCCCATCTCTACTAAACATACAAAAATTAGTTGGGTGTGGTGGTACGTGCCTGTAATCCCAGCTACTCG